AAAGAGAATATTTTGAAAAAAAAAGGTTCATTTTTTGTCAAAATGTTGCATTTTAACAATTTTTTATTGTAAACATAGTTTTAAAATAATTTTATTCGTGTATTCTAAGCTAAGTGTCACTAAATGTTAAAAATTGTTCGTTTATACGCTTTTGCAAAATCGCAGTTCCGAACGTAGTTGGATACCTTTAATTTATCAATTTAACAATTTATGAAACGTAGTAAAATTGAATATTCCTCGTCTGTCACACATCGCATTATTAGTAAACACGTGATATTAAAACTGAACTGCATATCTATGAACTAAAACTGTATAAAGACAATTAGTAGAAAACATTATCATCAATGATCGTGTTATTTTTAAATAGCTTACGTCATTTATCAGCACATTAAATATCTAAAAAATTGTTTGCCGTGCAGTTATATACGTTTAAATTATGTATAGATAAACTACGCTTATATTCAAAAATAGAACGCTGGAAAAGCATTTTATTAACTGAGAAAATATAACTAAAGCATCAGTTTTATACGCGGTAATAAATTATTCAGCCATATTATTAAAAGAGCGAATGCGAAAATTTTTTTAACGAGTGGCTTATCGTCGAGAATTAAACATTAAAAGAAAGATCAATGTTTTTTCAAACTCAAGTAGGTGGTATTCTTCAATATTTTTCTTAAGTAATTCTAAGACTTATATAAAGCCTCATTTATTTGAAAATAATCATCCCACATAAACGTAATAAGGCAATTAATGTGTTGATTTTTTAGATTTTTGTCGTATATCTCGTATTATAATTTAAAGAGAGATACTTTATAGTCAAATGGATATTTATTACGATTTAGTTAAAGGAACAAATGACGTCTTTATTTAGCTATTAAATTAAAGAACGAAAGTTTTTGTTTATTTAAATGTTATTTAATGATTATTACGCATAAATATAAAGTAATTAAATGTTGTTTTATGACTGTTAAAGGGGAAGATGATTTATAAAATATATTATACATCTTTATGTTTTTTGTTATTGCATGTTTTCAAATTTTACTGTTCTGTTGAAAATATCTAAACATGTGCAGTTGTTTACCTTCATAAATATCCCGGAACTAATTTGAAAAAAATCGGAGCCGAAATCACATATTGAAATTCAAAGTTTTGTGTAACGGCATTCGAAAAAAAAACGAACTTTGACCGCCAACTAGTGTCTTGTAAAAACTAATATAGAAACGTTCTAAACTCAGGTCAAATCGGTGTGATCATAGCATCAGAGAAGGAAAAGCGCAATCACAAAAATGATACCGTGGATCCTGGAGGGAGAAACGCGTGATCACATTCATGTGATCATGGTATGACTGTTATGTTGCATAAAGGGGTAAAGACAATTTTTTTACAAAATATATTTTATATCTTTATTGTTTTGTTATTGTTATGTTTTCAAATTTTACTGCTATATTCAAAGAACAGTCTTAATGACTGCACTTTTGTAAAAGTAATTAGAAAAATGTTCGTGTTTAAATTATTAGAACTCAATATTTTATTTTTAACAGCTAATAAAAAATTAAAAGTAAAAAAATTAAATATCTTTGTACTCAAAATAGCTAAATAGGGTTTTTTAAAAATTCTAGTTTCTTTAACGAAAACAATATTGAAATCTCCATCTACTAAACTCATTCAATAGGCTAAATTCATATGATGTCATAGTCACTTGATAGCTATAATCTCGTGCTTCCAGCCAATCAGTTTATCATTTCATGTGATGTCGTAGTCATATGATAAATGCAATCACGTGTATCCATCTAATCAGCTAATGTGCATCGCTGTTGCCATATTTTACTTTTTTCTGAACTTTCTTTTAAAAAGTTCATATTTGTCAACAATAATAACTCAAATCGGTAAGCAAAATGCGCTTAGTTAAAAAATAAAAGTACAACATAGGATTTTTTTTTAATTTTGAAAAATATTTTGAAGAGCCTTAAGACTTGAATATCTTAACCCAATTATCAAATTCGATTTTTTAAAACAAAATTTTACAATTAGTAACAAATACAAGTAAATTGTTGGTTTTGCATCACATTTAGAGCACATGATTATATCTATTAGGTAGCCGCTATAAATTAGCCCATAGCGAAAACGAATCGGAAATTATAACTTTCACAATCACTCCTTGCTGTAAAGATGAATTTAACGCATTTCAAAGTATGTCAAACTATCAGATACGTAAAAAATGAAACAGTCTGTACCAATAAGCAGATATAGTAGAACATTAGTATTATTTTCACATCTGAAATTCATAGAACATAATTTAAGAGGACATGGTACGATTTAAGCAAAAAATTTTAATTTAAGGATTTTTAAAATTAGTTTGGTTGCCTCCTATGTATGTATACTATGTTAAACAGATTTTGTGCTCAAAATTTCATAAAAAGCTAGCCATGGGACTTTTTAAGGAAAAAACTTAAGATTTGTGAAGCGATTTTAAAATGCTACTCCCCCCCCTACATAAATGTACGTACATGCAGGAAATTTGATTTACAAGTACGTCAAACTATGTATAATAAAAATTGGTATGGGTTATGCGTTAACGGGATTGGTATTCATACAATACTTCTTTTTTATGAATGTTTGAAAATTCCTTAAAAAATTTATAAATTCTGAGTTAAATTATATTTTTAAAAAATTAAATATTGCTTTGATCCAAAAATGCATACCAACTTTTGTTACGTGTATTATTCTCAATAGGTAAAAAAAAATCAAAGCATTAAGAACAATAGAAAAAAAGCAGTATTAACAATAGCATTTTAAATGAAGACAAACTAGTTATTTTATCTTTCTGAGATAAGTTAATTTAAAGTTTTGATTTGCCATAGAGATGTGAATAAAAACGAACGGGAAATCTATCATAATTCTGCGTGTTTTAAGTTTAAAACTTTCAAATTTATAGACGTTATAGAAAAGTATATAAAGAATAATTTAGGCTAAAAAATTAAATTTGATTTTTTCACCGATTTTGGTCAAGTGAATCGTACTGTGTCCTCTTGAGGACCAGTTTCTGCGAAACTGTTTAATAATTCAACTACACTACTTAGAACATTTTTATCCATTTTATATCTAGCGAAGAAAAAAAAGTCCGAAAAGTACCGCTTATAAATTAAATAATCACTTAATTTTTTCACTTCACTTTCCCATTAATAAACCAAGACAGCATTAAATCTCGAAATATCGACGTTACGCTACAGAAAAAAAAATCCACTAGGCGCCGCTGTCCTGTTTAAATATGAACGAACCAATGTTTTCGCATACGTTTGTTCACCGAGGTGTTGATGAACAAGGCACTACCGGACAAACATTTATAAACTCGTTGGGTCGCACCGCAAGGCAGAGCACCGCATCAAGCGTGACCACTGGTCACCGATCAATGACCAGTTTCCCTATCCCCGAAGTCTTAATTATTTCGTTTCCTGTCCGAACATTATATGCGAAACCGACATGTACACGCTGTCTGCCGACACGCACATGGTCAGCCCCCTCCCCCTCTTCGCTCTGACCAACCGATAATGGCAGGCTCGCGTGACGTCACGTTCGAAAGTCCCGTTACAGCTCGGACCTCCCCTTTCCACCCCGCGTCCAGAGCGATTTCTCTCCGCCGCCTATTCCAGGTATAGCTGCGAAGTTTTCGAGGAAAGTGACCGGCGATGACCAAACGGTTTTCATTGCTGACCGGAAGTCTGCGCTAAAGAGGGAAAGCTACATTTATAGGGTTTGGTGATCATTTTGGAAAAGAAAGTAAGGTTTACGTGGTCATTATCGTTGTGTATATAAAGACCATTTGGTCACTTATATTGAGAACATTCCGCTTGAAAAACTACCATCACTTTTGTAAGATTTGGTTTATATTTGTAATATAAGTATGTTATTGTACATTTTTATTTATTTATATATGGTTATTTAAAGATGGTATTGTTAATTATAAACACACAAAAGATCAAAAGAAATCGCCCCCGAAAAAAATCGAATAATTGAATTAGAAAGAAAATTTCTAAAAAAACAGGATCTGATTTGTGACAATTGACTCGTTTTTCGGAATAAATAATAATCATACAATTTTTTTAATGATTTTAACAGTTTTTATTTACCTAAATAAAATAGGATACTTTATTTGCTTCTGTGGACGTTTGAAAAAGTAATAAACTTGACATAGAAAATATTTTTTTGAAATGTAAGCAAGCATATATAAAAACTTAAGATTTAATTTTATAATGTATCAATAGATGAAAGTAATTCTGATTAAAAATAAAATCTTTTTTAGATATTTTAGTTTATTTTGGTAATCAATAACTTACTTAAAAAAGTGTTTCACGCATAAAACTTGCATTAAATATAACACAGTCTTCTACAAATGTATAATTCGCACTTACGGCTCCTGGTTTTTAAGGATATCTATTTTCTATTTTTTTCATCTAAACAACAGTCAAGAAATAATATTGTACAGTCATTATAACTACTCACCAACTTTTACCTTTAATTTTTTTAGTCGTCGTTAAGTTAAACCAAAGATTGCCAAACTTTCGAAAGAGAAGAGATAAGTTGTGTAAGAGAACAAAATACTTAAGGTATCAAAAGGCCATTTATAATCATAAGCATGAGCTACGTAAGAGGAGAGACTCCAATGGTAGTCGTGATCAGAATTTTCATGCTCAATTAATATCCTTTATACTCTTTAAACAATGTTTTACATAAAGTGATATTTTCCATTCCTTCAGATGACTCTAGTAACCTAGTGGTTATGGTCACGGACTCGCAACTAGCGTATCTTGAGCTCAAGCCCTATAGCCACTGAAGACGTACTGTGTACAAGGATTAATGCACGTTAAATCTGTATAGGCTCAAAACTCTCCCGGTGAAAGTTCAGATAAGGAGGTGCCATCTCAGGTATCATCATCGTCTCTTGAACATGGTCCAAAATTAAGAGATCCATTGTCAATAGCCCTCGTGTTGCTTTATAATGCGACGGCCATATCATTCTGAAAACACCGCTTCTCGTCCGATCACCGAAGTTAAGTATCTTCGGACACGGTCAGTACTTGGGAGGGTGACCACCTGGAAACGAAGCGTGCAGTCGGTATTTTCTTAGAAAAACAAAGTTTCCGAGTCCAGAGCTGCAGAAAGCTACGAGACAAAATTCAGGCAGTTTCTTTCCAGTGGATTGTGGTCTTTGGGTTAAATGAGATCGAGAACCTTTTGTCAAAAAGAGGTACGAATATATTCTCCGAAGATCTTCCAAAGACCTACCTCTTCCCTTTGTTAAGCTCGAGATTAATAAGATTAAATAAAAAATTTATAGTTTAAAAAAAACTGAAAAAAAACAAGCTTTTATAGTAAATCGAACTAAAAAGTAAAAAAATAAATCTTAATATAAGAATAAAATGATTTACGAGAAAATTAATGTCATGGGGTTAAAAGCGTGGGGTGCTCTATATCAATTGTTATAATTTCTTACTAGTTCTATTCCGAAATACTGAGTCAGTGTAAAAATTTAGTACAAAGCACACCCCACGCTTTTACCACAATGTATAAACACTATATAATGTAGAAATGTATATATATATATAAAATTTGAAGTGGCAGGCATAATTTTTTTATCAGATTGTGGCAAACTTTTCAAAAAGATTTGGCCAACCCTAGTGTAGGCCTAGACACGATCGACGGACAAGACATAATAATGCAGTCTTTTCACTGTTATCAGTTGACATATGGTTCGAAATTCCCAATTTTTTAGCAAATATGCCCGGGAATAACATTTGATTATTAAAATTATTCGGATCATAATCTTATTGAGGCCCCACGAAGTCGAAGCACGGGCACAGTTGGCCCTTGAAACATTCCTGCTTACATCTAAAAAATTTAAACCTATTGAAAGACTATCACTTGACTGGGTATCCTTGAAAACGTTTTTGTAGGTTATCGAAGTTTTTAAAAGATTTCAATTAGCACATTTAAAGAAAATTTTTGAAAACTCAAATTATTTTTGTTTAACGAAATATAAAAATTTAAATTACAACCTATTTAAAATTCCATTTGAAATCTCATTAGCATGCAAATATTCAAATTATTCGAACATTACTTTAGAATTTTATCAAGAGTTTCATTCTTGGTGCTTAACCATTACGTTCTCTCGCGAGCCTTTCATTTGTAAACTATTACCAACCACCTACTTCATCTTTATTTAAATTCTTGTCTGGAATTATCTTACCTCTTTCTATAAGTACTAGAACTATACAGTACGTGACAATGAGAGATTTCTCGAAATATTCGGTTAACGCTAAATATAATATTCTGAAAAGAACAGCCCAATTCTACTTACTCTCTTTACAGAAACGATCGTATTCTTAAAATAGAATTATGATCTATAGAATTGCATACGTGATTCAAGATACGTAGAACTCGAAGTAGAAGGAACAAAAAATGGAAAGGAAAATGTTTTAAGAACCGAATGCATTAGTCTAATTTACAAATGAAATGTAGCTTCTCAAAACATTACATCTCTAAGGGTATGTCTAGTGCATGTAATAGACGTTAGAGTATGTATGTAAATGTTAGTAGTTATTGGTAACGGTTAATGGTTAGCATTTTGTTAATTATCTGTATTTTCTATAGATAACCAGCAAGTGTAACAGGAGATCTCAATCATGGAAGTAGTCTTTCAAGTTAGATCTCCCAATTGTGCAGATAAAATAGTAGACGGTCTTAAGGAATCAAACACAGAAATAAATTATTCTTGATTAGTTACTTTTCAATAAAAATAAAAAAATAAAATGTTTAATGTTATTAATTAAATCGAGCTTAATATTTAGAACCCCAAATATGAATATTTATATATGTATGTTCGTCAGTTTTGTAAAAGCTACCACAGGAATATTATATATTTATATACAATACATATATATGTATTTCTCTTTTATTGAGTTGAGATCTGCTAAGAACGTGTTTTTGGGAATGATTTACAAGTGTGTTTGCGTGGAGTTACATGAGCGTTATAGATTTAAATGTATCCGGTTTTCGAACAGTTAGACCAGTGATTCCCAAAGTGGTCTATATCGACCCCCAGGGGTCTATGACGACCTGTAAGGGATCCACGTCAGCTAAAAAATAATTTGGGTGTCCATAAGGAGTAAAATAGGACCCACGATAGTAGCTCTCATTAAACTAGATCGTGACCTTATTTTTTAAAGAAAATTTAATCAAGTGGAAACCAAATTTATTACCAAATTAATGGTTAATTTGCAGTTACGAGGTAGCAGCATAAATTTAACTTAAACAAGGACCATCGTTGCAACGTTTATTATGTTATTTATTTCTATTATAATATTGAGCGACGAGAACTTTCCCAGCTTCTCAATTTATCTTAGATAGTCTGCCAGTAAAATCACGTTTTATAAGCTACGTTCAACATTTAAATACTTTCTCTTTATATTTTGAAACTACGTTTGATATTGTTTTGACTAAGACAATAACACAGTAGGAAATCAATCGATGTCGTCACATTGAAACCAAAATGTCAGATTACAAGAGGAACTAATCGGAATATGCATTTATAAAGATCTTAAACTAAAGTGATTAAAACGGGCATCATTAATTTTAGCTTTAAAAAAGATACCTGTTAGTTATCCCAAATTATGAAATATCTTGAGAAAGGTTGTAATTGTTTTCCTTATGAGAAGGAATTTCAACGTGATTGCCAATTTTAAAAAAACAAAAACAAAAAATAGAAGGGAAAAAAATGAAAGGAAAGACTAGACACTTACTAACCGAGGAGATACCTTACAAGTTAAAGGTGGAAAATTTGTTATCGAAGCACCAGATTCATCCTTAAAAGCATTTGTTTGTTGCTCAGATATTTTATGCATTATTTGAAACTTAATTTAATTACCATAAGTTAAGAAGCACATGTTAATTAAATCAAATTTATTACACTGTACTACTTATACTTACACTGAAGTCATATACCAGCTGTCAAAAGAAAAGAAAAAAACATTTTAGTCGATAAGTTTGTAAAACTTCAATATTGACAAGTAGAGGTCTACCCCAAACCAAAAAACATGGCAAGTTTGAGAATCTCTGAATTAGACATACGGACTTTGAATTTTACAAACATGTAGAGATTTACTAAAAAATAGGTTTAAGAAATCAACTCCGAGGAGAATGCTACAAGGAAGTAAATGTTAAGTATACTAATATTTAAGTAATTCAAGTCCACAGTCCTTTTTTTTAATCATAAGAGGCGAGAGCAGTGCGGGTATTTCTCGATTCAGTCAAATGCTTAATGCTAAGACTTACAATTTCAGGAAATTCCCGGTTAAGCAGGCGGGTAGCAACTAATGTTTAACCCTTTAACTGTCAAGTTAGTTTGATGATTTCAATACATAAATTGTCAGATTATTTATTGTAAAAATCAAATATTTAATACAAAATAAGATATATTTATTAATTAAAAATTTGAATTTTTTGAATTACATGCATAAATTTTTTTTAGGTTTTGTAACAACTACATTTTCGTTTTAGGTGGCTGCCACTCAGCCTGACAGTGGTAAAGTTCCCTTCTAATATAGCATTGTTTATTAAAAATAAAATAAAATAAAAATAAACACTTATTTGTAGTTTAATAATTCAGTTTTTCGTAGTTTTGTGAGCTCAAATTAACTTTTCCCATTATAGATTTGGGTTTGACGAAAAAGTATTCAGGTATGAAAAATAAAAATTTGTGTAAGAGCCCAGGGCCTACTTTTCCGTAGGGGGACAGGGCCTTAAGATGTCTCAAGGCGCATCCCTGGCCATTCCCGAGATAATCTCGCGCATGACAGTTAAAAGATTAATAAATGCAAACTTTGAAATTTTACTGAAGATCTCGAAGAAAATTGGATTAAAATACCAAAGTAATTCACATCCTTTATCATCTGTAATAACTAATACAATAAGCAATATTGCTATTGCATTTCTTTTTGAAAATATTGCATTCCAAACAGGAGTTTTAAAAAGTCATAAACCAATTTCCTTATTTTCTTAAGTGACTTCTTTGGGGATAAATCAATTTTCATTTTGAGCCTTACACATTTGAAATAAAGCACAATTGTTGAACTATTAATAAACATGAGAGACTCTATTCACATAAGTTTCTGTGCAAAGTCTCCGAGACGGAAACAATACAGACGGGATCAATAGAAAATTAATGGAAATTGTGAAGTCGGACAAATGAAATGGCTTCACGCTATTCATTGTCATAGTCCATTACTTCCAAAAATATCAGAACGACAATTCGGAAAATATCTAATAAGGTTTCTGGAATCTAGTAGAAAGAGAAATGAGATGGAATTGTAGTTTCTGGAATGAATTTGCATGATAAGCAGCTTATTTTTTGCATGAAGCGAAGCTAAGGAATAAACAGGATAAACATTTTTATCTCTCTTAGAATGGACTTTAGAGAATAATTGTTTCTCATATGTTCTCAGAAAAATAATAATAATATAAATATTTGTCTGTTATGTTGGATGTTGGGCAAACATATTTATTAAAAATTATATTTAAAGTTTAATGTGTGTAATTTAAATTTAAATATATTTTTAATTATACAGTTGTTGCATATTAATATAGTTTTTCTAGCTGTACAAATTATGTAACTGTTCATACTCATTGCTCAAATTGCAAAACTGTAATTTGCATGTATTTTAAAATAAAAAAAAATTAATATTCTCATGTACAACATTATCTTTCCTTTTATTGTCTTTACATTATAATGGCGTTTCAAAGGAAACTTACCGGAATATTGGCGATACAGCCAAGTTGGCATTATTTTTGGCGACCAAGTTTGGCGACGAAATAAATTTTTTACAGCACCACAAAAAACTTTTTTTTAATAGAGAGATTTATTTTTGAACAACCAAATATTTCCAAATATGTAGTAAAAAGCCATTTAATTGGCTCAAGAATATTTTGTAAAATTGTACGATACTCTCAAAAAGTAAAATTCTCTGAAGATACATTAGATGAAGTTTCAAAATTGTGCCTTGGTTCAGAATTTTTTTTTAAATTTCGAATTTGACTACAAGAATATAACTATT